AAGCTACTGTGGGAAAAATTATAGAACCTGATTCTCTATACTGGTTGGTTTTACAGTCTGTTGCTTACAGTAGGAACTTATAGAGAATCTGGTTCTCTATACAGTGGGAACTTATCTTTGTCTCATTTTACATACTGGTTCAGTAGTTAGCTCTGTGGGAACTGATATAGGACCAGATCTCTATACAGTTTTGTTCATTAGTGTTTTCAGTGGAAACTCATAGAGAACCTGGTTCTCTATACATTCTGGTGGATGCTTAGTTTCTAACAAATAAGTTTTACAAGTTAGCTACAAGAAATGGCAATTTCGTTTTAGCACAACGAATGCTTATGTACTTTTGAAAATGGAAGGAATAAAGTAAAGTCCTTTTATTTCTATCTTATTTCTTATTTGAACGAAGAATTGATTTTATCATTTTAAAGTTAAACAAGTACTTCAAATGCTAGTGCCGTAATGAACAGGAGACGTCCTCTTCAAGAGCACCGTAAACATAAGAGGGCACTCTCTTATAATAACACTCACATTAAAGGGTTGATTTCGGAAGAACTTATACCCGAAATCCAAATGCTTTTGAGGGAGAATACTCCCAAAGCCTTGGATGATCAGACGCAAATAGTAAAACTTGTGCAAACACTTAAACAAAAAAAAGATGCAAAGAAAAACTTGTGCAAATACTTACACAAAAAAGACGCAAAGGACAAACTTGCAAAATGTTCAAACGAAAGTACGCTGAAAGGGAAACTTACACGATACTTGAACAAAAAGCATTTTTATTTACAAAAATGTGCCAAACGATAAAAGTACAAAAGTTTGAAAAGGAAATCAAGAACTAAACTGTTGCATCTCCGGAACCCAGAGGAAGAGAAGCATTCGCGCCCCTAGGAGAAAGTGGGTAGATCTGTCACCGGTTTGATATAGAGGCTTTCTTCATTTTGGCCTTTAGCATCTTCCTTCTAGTTTCTCTTAAATTTTTGAGAACTCAGAATCGGAACCAGAAGAATCAATAGCATCAGGCCTGGACTGAAGACCCCTTTTAGCAGCCAACTCTAGTTCATGGGCTTTAGCGATTTCGGCATCAAAGTCAATGACACCCATTTAGCCTCTTCCAAGATTTTTCTCCTCATGTTGCACATGGAATATGTTTTTTCAACAACGAGAGAAGATGCTCAGCATTTAAGTTCTTCTTTAAGTTGGTCAACCTTGGCAGAAATTTTTTCCCGTATGGATCTAACGAACCGGAGACTAACATCAAGGTCACGGACAGTACGACTGAAAAGTATATTATGCTCAATGGTCCTTTTATGATTCTCCTCCAATTGGTCATACCTTACCCCGTCGGTAGCAAGCTATTCAGATTTGGAGTTCAAGACTACCTCCAAATTATTCAATCTTTCAGCGGAGGCAGCCTTACGATCAGATACAGCAAGAACGACATTACGAATTCCAACACATTTTGCCCTAGCTTCTTCAAACTGAACTCTCAACGGGGAGACTTCTTGGCTAAGGGACTCTACTTCTTGATCGCTTTGCTGCAACCAAGCCTCCACCATAACGGCCTCAACAACTTTAGCTTCTGACTCCGAGAAGTGAGTAACAATTTGGTCCCGCTCGGCCAAAAGTCAATCCCGCTCGGCGGTAAATTCCTCCTTATCTCAAATCAACCTTTGGAGACCCTCGGAATCAAGAAAGTTAGCCTGAAAAACAAATAATGCAAACTCAAAATTCTATTATATCAAAGATAGAAGAAATAACAAAGGAAACGAAGAATATACCAGTGCTGCATTGTGCATGGTATTGTTCAACAAACACTCTCCTGAGAGAGCTTGTATCTTTTCCCTATCTTTTTCTGAAGCCGAAGGCTTTAGATAGTTTGCAAGTTCCACCGGCTAGGATAGCAGGTTGCATCCGGTGGAAAATAGAAACCAAAAAGGTAACGCTCTTCCTCCTTTGCGGACCTTCAGAGGGGGAAACATAATTTTGCCGCAATTTCCTATGAACTAGGGACTGGGGGATAGGGGCATCCTCTTCTTGGGCAGTTGAGGGCGGTGGAGATAATGTAGTAGTTGCTGGTGGTGAAGGAAAAATTGGTGAAAAAGGAGACAAAGCTGATAGCGTTGAAGGATGAGAAGTGGCCGCTACAAGCGCATCGCTGTTTATTGGTTGCTCATCAATCGAAGATGCCAGGGACCCGACATTCAGCCTTATGGTACCGAGCACAACAAATAGGATCCGGAAGTGAGAGTTAGCATTTTTCACCATCTTATACTCCCCCAGAGTGTCGAGGCATCATCCTCAATTGGTTTAACTAACTCAACAGATTGAGCAATCTATTGAGTTGAGGAAGGTCATCGTCTTCTATGTAGATAAGCCCTTTCCTCGCTGGCTTCCCCATCATTGTCAATCCTTACAATGTCTATAGCTATCCTAGGCAGGGGGCTCATCACCATAACTTTCAGAGATGACTCGGGAGCGGCACTCTTCGCCTTTTTATTTTTCCCCTGGCCATGGAGGAACGTCTTCTTTTTGGTTGTTTGTTCTTCGGTCGGGGACTCCAAGAAGAAGCACTCATCACAGAAGTAGGCCCGAAGACACCTGTCTGTGTAAAGCATCCTGCAGCAGCCTCGCCATATCAGCAGGATTAGCCAAAATGTCCTCCTCGGGGACGACAACTGAGCCCTGGGGTAGACCTAAATCCAAAAAGAGAGATAAGTTAAACAATTTCCTTATACGAAAAGGTAAAAACAAGATAAGTGTGGCTTACCATGGTTTTTGGCCTTCCACCTATATTTAAGGGATAGTTCTTTCCACGTATAGATCTCGTGCATAGTAACGTCCCAAACTTTCTGGACCCACTAGTCTAGGCCTCAAACCTAGATGGAACTCATCGAGTCGCTGAAATAAGTGAAAGAAGAAGGGATAATAACGATATCAAATGATCTTTAACAGAAGAAAAGACAAATAGTGAACTTACGAGTGTGGTTCTATAATTCCGGGAAGGATGAAATCATAGTTGGAATGATGTCCCTGGTGGTGACTGAAATGAACCATTCCATCAACCCATGGTCATTGTCATCATCCATGCTGGATAGCAGAGCATGGTGGTCATGCTTACTGAAATTTATCATTCCCCCACGGAAAATGTTGGGGGAATAAAGGTTCATCAATCGAGTTAGGGTTAGCTCTTCTCCCATCTCCTGGTACAGGTTTCAAAGACAAGCAAATATCCTCCATACAGAAGGACTTACCTGTGCCAAGCACACCTGGTAGCGGTGCAGAACTCCATGATGATGGAGTCAAGCTCCCCACTCAAAGATAACGGTCCCAAGATAAAGGGATACATGTAGAAATATGTAAAACCCTTTCTGGGTAAGGTTACCCGCTCCGCCAGGTCGGGAGCAATCTAAATCTTAACAGTGGCAGTCTTCCTTCACAGCAGGAATACTAGAAGGACAAAAGGAAGAATGATATACGCTAATGGCCCACGTACGAGGGTGAGCGGAAGGATACTTCTCTTTAAAGTCTTTGGTGGTAACGAAACTCTTTGGGATAATAGTGCTTACCGTAGGAGGAGCGGCGTCATCAACTTTACCTGTGCTCTTTGAAGAACTAGGATTTCTGGAAGAAGAGGCCATTTTTTATTAAAAAGGAGGGAAGGTTTTCTCTCAAGAAGATAATAAAAGAAAGGTTGAATACAAAGTACGAGTTGAGTAAAAATAGTTTGAGAAAGTGTAGAGAATTATGAAGTGTAAATGAAGAGGTTTGATGCGTATAAGTAAAGTTATAGGCGGCTAAAATCGTGGCCATATTTACCTCGATAACTGGAAAAAGTGATACTAAATTGTAGGATGGCGCGTATTCGGTGTATTAAATGTGGAGAGTTATGCGTCTAATCAACCGTCAGAAACTTTTTAGAGGGGATCAGGGAATTTTCCTCAAAAAAGGTACTTCTACCAACTTCCCGGTGACATAAAGGTATGCCACCGGAAAGCAGGGGGACTATCTGTACGGGTAATATATGTTCATATTTAATGATCGTATAAGAAAGTGACACGTGGTACAGAAAGCAGAAGATAGCTAAACCCGAAGGCAATGATCTCGATTGTCACCAGAGAAAATAATACTCATAACGACAAAATTAATTCCACCATCCGATAGTATTCAATAAAGAGTATTCTACAATATTAAGTGCATGATCCATTACAGAGAATATAAAATTCACTGCCCGCCATTACACATCCTTCAATGGCCCTCATAATTGTCATTAAAAAGGAGCTTAATCCTAGGACCTTATTCCCTATGTGCAGCTATAAATAGTGAGCTCTACCATCATTGTAAGGGGGACGAATTTTCTGACAAGCATACACTATATTCTATCAAAAGCTCAAAAACATTTTACTTTTTTGTCTATTTATATTTGTGAGCACCTAATTTTTGCCCTACATGAAAATAACTCCTAAATATAGATCAAAAATATTTTTAATTGATTTTTAGGAGTTTTTCTTTATTTAGTTGCATTTCATGCATTTTCAATATTTTAAAATCATAAAAAATTGTCATGTTTTAATTTCATGTCATATTAGGTTTAATTTGCATTTAGGAATTTAATTTCATAATTTAATTGCATTCATTAAACAAAAATCACAAAAAATTACTACAATAGTCATGTCCACATTTTAGCTTTTAGTTTTAAATTAATTAGTGTTAAATTAGTAAAAAAAAAAGTAAAATTAACTTTACAAAATAATTTAAGGTAGAGCCTAATTTAGGATTTTATTTAGCTTGTTTAATTAATTCAACTAAATTTTTTTAAATCAAAGAAAGAAAGAAGAAAGTTGTCTTATTATTGAATTCAACTAAATCAAAGAAAGTTGTCTTATTATTGAATTGGGTCAAGGCTCAAGAGGCCCAAATCAAGATAAATTCGCCCCAAACCCACTTGCCCGACCCGTTTTTCCCTCACATTAAAAATCTAAACCTAGAAGCCCTAGACTCCTAGACCTTAGACCAAATATTCACCATTTCCCTTACAACAAACAACCTGGAGCCACCTTTCTTCAAAGACATCAATGGCTGTTTAAGATCAGTGAACACAACAGACCCAATTCGTCGCCCGTTTTCCGTCGGGATTCACCAGAAATCAACCTCCCCATCCTCTTCTCTTCAATAACCCAGCAACGACCATCCCAAACGACCCATCTTCGACCTATAAAACCAACGGCAGCAGCTCACACAAATGACCCCTTCTCTTGAACGAAAATGGCGGAAGCCCAGACCCCTCCCCTGCTTCATTCTCACATCTGACTCTTCACCCTCCCTCACTTCTCTGAAAAACGCATACACACAGACTTAAAACGAGAAAGAGAGGAAGTTTGCACTTCAAATTTTAGATCTAGAAAACTTCAAAAGAAGAGAAAAAAAATCGAAAAAAGAGATTAAAAGACCGTTTAGATTTTCTCTTCATGGTTTAATCATTTCTGGGTTTTGAGGGCTGTTTGAGTTATAAATTTGATGTTCGTCTGCTGATTTTGTTATTCCGACTCACTTTCGTCGAGTTTTTCTCGTCGAGTTTACATTTTCGTATTCAACAAATCTTCATGTATATAAAAAGAGGTCCGAATTAGTTGGTTTGTCGCTGCTGATTTTCTGCTGTAGAAACATGGCTGAGTTCGTTTTTCAGTTTTCCGACCTTTAAATTTTATTTCCGGTGCTGTTTTCAAGGTAATCCTCTACTACCTCACATATTGTCTCCTAATGTACTGAAGTTTGATTTTTTTCAGATTTATTATAATATGAGATTGTTGTCTTTCGTTGATTTACCTGCTATTACTAGTTAGATTTATGCACTTTGATTAGTTCTTAGCATGAGACACTTGCCATCTATTCAATGTTTGAAATCATGGTTCATTACTGATGCATCTGTTAGTATTGTCTGGATTCAAGTGATTTTAAATTTAGTTTCGACACAAAGTGAAGTGCTTATGAACTCGATGAAGATACATGTGGTATGGTGTTCTTGAAGTATAAGCATTCTATTTGGTTTGATCCCAACACATCTCTATATTTCATTATTTCAAATTAATTGTAGCTACATTAAGATCAAGGCATGGTGTTTGTTCTTAAAGTTATGTTGTCTAAAGTCTGATGGTTAAATGAGATACTATTGATGTTTCAGCTTGCATACGTGACCCAAAAAGCTTAGTTGATTATGTCTACATAAATCCATGCTTGCTCGTTTGTGTTCAATACGGGCAATTAATTTTGGTGACGCATTATTCTGTTAACGATGTATATATTTTATCTCATATGATGCTTCATTTCCCACCATTGTAAATTTTATTGTTAAAAGTAACTTTAGTGAACATTAGGAAACAATCCAATCATGAACACTCGTAGCTTGCTTTAGGCGCGATTAATAAATCATCATGGCCATTGGTACGGTTCCCGTGGCATGGTCACGATTCATAATTCCCAAATTTGGGTGTGCATTTCATGTGATCCGATCGCAATAACTTTGAACAATAATAAAATAAACATGTCGCGAATTACGGGTGCATTTCATGTAGCGTGGTTCGCGGTGTATTCCAAAACGGCAAGTGTACGACAATTGTAACTTGTTCAAGAAATAATTCCATAAATCCTAAAAGTGAATTAAAATAATTAAAAGTGGTTATAAAGCTAAAAATGCACAAATATGTATAAAATATGTAGTAAATAAGATAATAGGCCAATATTAATAGTTTAAGCGACCGTGCTAGAACCACGAAACCTGTGAATGCCTAACACCTTCTCCTGGGTTAACAGAAATCCTTATCTAAAATTTCTGGTTCGCAGACTTTTAAATAAAGTCAAATTTCCTCGACTTGGGATTTTATAATAAACCTGTGACTTGGGACACCAAATAAACTATTCCAAGTGGCGACTCTGAAAAATAAATAAAATAATTTCATTTCGATTAATGTCACTTTAATTGGAAAAATCCCTTATATCCCCCTCGGGTGGGTAAAAAGGAGGTGTGACAATATTGTTCTTGTTGCTCCCGGTAGCTCTGCACCCAGAACCATGATATATGCCGACTATTTCGCTTTAAGGCTAAGTTTCGTATTTTTGTCTAATTCATCTTTTATTTTTAGATCAAATTAATTCACTTGTCTATAAACCACATATAAATTCAACTATTCCATTTTACGGGTAAACATCTACCAAGGAAGTGCATAACATTAAAACTCTAGTTATTTCATATTCTACTAACTCTATATATTTCAGGATGTTCTCATATTACAAGCTCGCACAAACGCTGAAGTTAAACGAGAGTTGAGAGCAAAATAGCAAGGTATTTTGGAAGTAATTCATGTGTGATTCAAGTGTGCGAACCTGAAACTACATGAACCAGATAGAAGAACCAGTTCCAAGTGTCTATCTTTTATCCTAATTCAATTGTAGTAGGGCTTTTGAGTTGTGCCTTTCATCTTTCTCTAGAAGTATTTGTACTACATACTCTAAGTGTATTGTTCAAGTTACAGTTAACTTGAAATTATCACAACAGTCTCAGGCTAGTTTCCATAAAGGGTTAGAGGTAATACTTAGGTTTAGAAGTGTTTTGTAAATACCATTTTGGCTTAGTGATTTAGTGAAGTGTTGGGAAAATCCTACTAGGTAGTATGTCGTGATTTTTTCACCTTTTGAGCCAGGTGTTTTCCATGTAAAAATACTATATTCTTTACTTTCTGTATTTACTATTCCGCAATAGTAGCATAAATAACACATAGAAGAACCAGGTCCTTCTATAATCAGTGCATGCAAAAAATTGGATACCACACAAATCAACCCCTCATTTTATGTGGTATTGAAGTATAAAATATTAATTGGTATCAGAGCAGTTTATTCTTGAAGAGGTTAACACCTTAGGAGAAGATTAAGATGGGTGCACCACCTGAAAATTGGGAAGGAGAATCCACTGATAGACCACCACTCTTTAATGACCAGTACTACTCTTGGTGGAAGAACAAAATGAGAGATCACATTCAAGGAGAGGACTATGAGCTATGGGACATTGTCATTGATGGTCCACTAGCTACCTTGAAGAAAAATTCAGAAGGATTAGATGTGCCAAAGACAAGAGTGGATTACAATGTTGAGGACTTGAAGAAATGGAAGGAGAATGCTAAAGCCAAGAAATGGTTTGTTTTGTGGGCTTTGTCCAGATAAGTACATCAGAATCCAAGGTTGTTCCACTACTAAGTAAATTTGGAACACACTGCAAGTGGCCTACGAAGGAACAACTCAGGTGCTCAGTATGAGAACTGTTAGAAACTAAGTGTCCACCAAATTGTATAGAGAACCAGATTCCCTATCAATTCCCACTATAAGCAACAGACTGTAAAACCAACCAGTATAGGGAATCAGATTCTCTAATTGTTCCCACATTAGCTCGGCATTAAATAAAGAACACAGAGGATTTTTACGTGAAAAAATCCCAACTCAAGAGGACAAAAACCACGACCTACACCTGTAGGCTTTCAACTTCACTAACTTGTAAACACCTATTACAAGCCACTTTGTAATTACTCCGTTACAAAGAATTCAACTCAACTAACTTATGGTACTCTCACCACAAGCCACTTTGTCACTCTCTAGTTACAAAGACTTTAACTAACTTGTGATACTCTTATCATAAGCCACTTTGTTACTCTCTAGTTACAAAGACTTTAACACTTACTAACTTGTAACAACACTATTACAATCCACTTTGTAATAACTCTATTATAAAGACTTCACAACTCGACTAACTCTAGCCAAGACACAAACATAAGGATTTATGATTTATAAAGGGTTTCCTATACAATGCTTCTAACTAAGCTAAGTACAAGTTATAAATGAAGAACAAATAACAAAGACTCAACAAACATAAGGACTTAAGATATCTTCAATCTTGGATTTGGTCCTTGAGATTGCAATAACTTTGTTCTTGAGAGAGGTTGTGGCTAGCACTTGAGAGAATATCATTGAAAATGCTCAAGTGATAGTGTTGTTCCTTGCACCAGGTTGTTATACTACAAAAGACATCACCATGGTGATGTCAATTCACAATGGTGATGTCAAATCTTGGTTAGTACATGCCTCTTTCCAATGGAAAGTGACTGTTGCACTGTTTGCCGCACTGTCACGTGTACAGTTGCAGGCAGTCACTTTCTGAAGTTGCTTTCCAGCTGTATAGTTGACTATACTTCTATCAGGGGAACACCAAGGGATCAGGTCCCTAATCTGGTTCTTATGAATCTAAAGGCACATTGCCCAGATTATCTTGAGTTGATTAACTTGAATGATTGTACCAGGCATGCTTCAGGTCTTTTATCTGGTTCTCTCATGAAGTAAGTTGTTTTACCTTCCTTGATTGTATTTATACGTGTGTGACATCACTTACAATGATGTAAGCAAGGTAGGTAAACAACCTTCCATAGAAGTTGACTGCTGCACTGTTCCTGTATAGTAGTATGTGCAGGCAGCAACTTTCCTGCTGGAGAGTTGACTTCATACAGTCTCCTCAGGAACTGATAGGGACCTGTTCCCTCAGCTGTTCCTTCCACTCTGAAGAGTTGAGTTATATCCCACACTGGATCCCAACCTGAAACTTTGTGATCTCAAGGTCTTGTAAATGTGCAACAGGTTTCTTATCTGGTTCTGGATGGTAAGTTTGTTAGATCATCAAAACATAAAGTAAAGTACTTATGCCCATGGTACTTGTAACCTATCAATTTTTCTCTTTTTGACGATGACAAACTTAGAATTGATATTTCCTCTAAGAACTAGATCTCCACATTGTTCCCCCTACTAATCATCCATATTCCCCATAAGAACCAAAGCTAAGGAGCTGATCACAACTGGTTCCTCAAGTTTGTTTGGCAAATCATCAAAACTCAAAGTACCATAACTTATCAATTTCTCCCTTTTTGATGAATGACAAACCAAGAATTATTCCCCCTGAGAATCAGATTCCTTACATGCACTGATCACATTTGGTGCGTACCCAGTTCGTTGAGAACATTTTTCATCATCAAAACATGACATAGTGTAACTTAGAGCAATTTCCCCCTTTTTGATGATGAAAAACCCAAAATTAATATTCCTCTTATGAACTAGATTCCTCACATGTTTCCCTGCGGATCAGACCTATAACCAACATATTATCAGCAACGTTCCCCCTGCGAAGTAGAGCTATTTTTCATGCACTACAATATATCAATTTGATTTTGTTCCTCCCCTATGTTGACACCTATATAACTTTCATGCACATCTATCTTTCACCAAGCAGAGCAGACTTTTACACCCATGTTGACACTTATATAACTTCCCCCTTTGGCATCATCAAAAATAATAATAGAAGAAGCACAACCAAAAAGAAGTTCAGCAACATTAACTCATGCCACTTGGGCAATACAGCATAAACAATTACAAGAAAAACAAGTGAGTGCCATTGCACAAAATAGAGTGATTGCTCATAGTGGAGTAATTATAATAAAAGCACAGTAGTTTCAATGTCATCAAATATAGGGATCAAAAGAAGATAAGAATTCAAGGGAATTTAGAAGGAGTGAAAGACCTGGATCACTGGGCAGGAGGAAAAGTAAGGGGCTAAGGCCTTGATGAGCTTGCCCATTCATTCATTTACTCTCCTTTTATCAATGATCATCTGCTCTCTCAGTTCCTCCACATGTTTCCTCAATCTTTCATTCTCACCCTTCAACTTAGTATTCTATTCTGCCTAGGGTCTATGAGGACCTAGTGCTCAACCTATCTAAGTAGGCTGAACCATCAATCAGATCACCAAGAATCTTCCCGAGCTTCTTCTCATCAAGAAAAAACTCAGCCCCATGCACATATAACATCAGAGTGTCACATAAAACATAGAAGTTTTTACTTCTTCTTCATAAACATTGGTACTTGGAGGAACAAAGAGGTGATTCTATTTTTTCGAACTCAACAATGTCAAGAGGTTCCTCCATTTTTCAGTAATATCAGAGTCAACATTCTGCCTAACAACACTTTTGAGACTTCAAAGTCTTCTACCTCTCCAAACCTGATGAGTCAACCTTTTGCTTCTGTAAGGAACCAGGTTTCTTACTCACACTACCCTTTCGTTCCTAGAGCATCCATGTATCCCTCTTTTTCTTCTTCTCAATCTGTTCACCCTTGTCATCTGCTGCATCTTTCTCAGCAACCTTTTCTTTACTTCATTCTCTCTTTCACAATCACATCAGCAGGTTATACTACTTCATTATCAATCAGCCTATTTTTCATCAATCCGTTTTACTGGATCGGAAGTTCGTTTAATCATAAAACTCAAAGAGAAAAAGATCATCATTAAAATTGACTTCATGAGAAGGACTTAAGGGATCAGGTCCCTCATTCAGTCCTCACATTTACCAATTTTTCTATCCTTCAAGACTTTCACACATCCAACAACTTCAGCCTCACACTCTAGAATATTAGATCTACCTTGTTCCCTTTTAGTTAAACTTCCATCAAAATCTACCAAAGACTTTTTGGGGTTTTGATTCTAATGGAGTTAGGATTTTGGAAAGTGAGAGAGTTGGTTTCACTTCTGGCATATTTGGAAAGAAGGATTCTTTTGAGACAAGGTTGATTTTGGTTTTAAAGAAAAGAATCGGTTTTAATTGGGTGTACGATAAAGAAGTGCCTTTTTGGGGCAAAGGATCAGTTCAGAAATGGTTTAATATTTTAGACTTCAAAAGTTAGGAGGAGAGGCAGGAGAAAGGCAGAAATAAATTAATGACATGACACTTCAGTAGCTTAAAAAGGCATATAAGTATTGGTGAGACTACTAACCTGAGTCACAGGAACCAGGTTCCTTGATGGTTTTTGAAAATTTTGAGCAAAGACTCCTAGAAGTCCTATGTCACTCTTACTTATTTTTGTCCAGAAACTGCCATACGTGTATACCTGTGACAGTATAGATTTGAGTTAGATGTCGCCGAAAAAGACTTTTTAGCATTGTACATTTCCTTCTTAACATAGCCAATCATCAAGGGACCAGGTCCTTAGTTGAGCTTGATCAACCCCATATCTAGACGATTTCTTTTAAAATGTTCCCTGCTCAGCGCCTTGGTGATGATGTCTACTACATGGTCCTCCGTCTTCCAAAACTTCATACAAATCAGAACCTTTTCAAGATTATCCCTCAAGGAATGATGTCGCATATTAATAAATTTTGTCCTCTTGTGTTGTACCGGGTTCAAGCTATAAATATACCAAAGTCTTCAAGATGTTGCTTGATCTATACTAGTTGAGCCCAACAAGAAGCAACAACCACATATTCAGCTTCAGCAGTAGGAAGAGCCATGCAGTTCGTTTCTTTGTACCCCATGAGATCAAGCATGACCCCAGAAAATGTGTCATTCCAGATGTGCTATTCTATCCACCCGATATTCAACATAATCAATATTAGCATATCCAACCAATTCAATGTTATCTCCCGAGGGATAGTAGAGAACCAGGTCCTGCATCCCTTAGAGATATCTTAGGATTCTCTTGGCAGCTTTTAGATGAGATTCTTTTGGATTTGATTGAAACCCGGCACACAGACCCACACTAAAAACAATATCTGGTCTGCTACAGAAGTGACCCTATGATACCTCTAT